AAGGTAATATATAAAGTTTCTCTTGGTAATGCAGGGTGAGGAGGGGGCTCTCTCAATGACTACACGGGTCCGGGCAGCAAGTGCATCAAAAGGGTTTCCAGTTAACTACTGTTCTGGGTTTCGTTCTTTGAGTTCAGACACGGCTCTAGGAGCTGACGGTAAGAGTGCGAAAAGAAGATTCCTATTTTCAATCTAGAATCTACTGGTTGATATATTATATGAACCCAGTCGTTACAGGGTGGAGACATAATTTCCCAAACGATTGTGTTGTTGTTGTAAACTGGCTTGTAGGTGGTAGGAGTCCATAGGGTAATCAAAGTTTTTCTTTGGTGGTTTGGCCTTTCTAGATTGCTATGTAATCTAATCCGAAGCTGTCATTTGTTTAGATTGGTCCTTATGCATCAGTGATGTTGATGAATTCAACTTATGGCTTAAGTAACTTCTGGAATCGTAGGGGTCTCACGTCTGAGTTTCAATCTTGAGGTGGATGCGAGAGACTATGGGTTTGAACCAACAGAGACTCCACGAACTGATCGATCGGTAAAACCTCTTAATACATGTTTCTTTCACCCTGTTGGGGACAATGGTGCAATAAAAAAAAAGAGAGAAAACTTGAGCATACTTTTGTTGAATTGACAGGTATCGAAGAACATAGAGCTGGGTTTAGCAGCGCTTCGTGGTGAGAAAGGCGCGGCTTATGATAGAATCGTCCTAAATGCTGGGATTGTGGATCATTTATTAGGATGCGAAGGCGCGGAAGACGTAGCTGTAGCTATGGAGAGAGCAAAAGAAGCCATTGACAGTGGGAAGGCTCTAAAGAAACTTTTGAATTACATAGAAATCTCACGAAAGATGAGATAGTTTGAACAAATCTCATACACGGAATAGTGAAAGCATACACCTTTCTGATTCTTTTTTCGTATTGTAGCCAACCTGTCTGTTTGTTGCTGTTGAAAACTGATCGTGTTTTTACAGTGTGACACAACACAGTGCTTGATTTTGTACAGAATCTGGATAGAAAAAATGGTTGTTTCTTATGTTTTTGAGTGATACACTATTCACATCAGTGGATGTTTCATATGATTCCTATTCAAGTTCGAGGATTAGTCCCATCAAAGATTCGGATGGAGACACTAATTGTCTTGAAGACAATGGGAAAGAAACAAATGAGGTCTGTTTCCAGATAATAATGACAACATGAAAGGAAACGCAAGAAACGTGGGACGATTCTATAGGTTGTGTCGCAAAATGATAAGTAAAAAACCTGATTTGAGTAAAGAAACAGAGTCCATACAACATTTTTGTAGCAAAAGAAAATCGATTCGAGAAAAAGCTACAAAAAAGACTTTTGTTATTGATAAAACAAGTCGTCGAGTGGCGTTCTCCTTATGCCACATAATCTGATCAGACGAGTGTCCAAATTCACGTCAGACACACAATTGTAATCTGCTTTGCTTGAGATAATATATATAAACATTGACTCTATTGGTCTTTCTTGCTCTGCTTTTTGGAACTAATTTCTCTAAAGAGCTTTGGGGGTAACGAAGGTGAGTCGTGACTGATCCCAAAACCCGATCGATATAAATTTCTCCTATTTTTGTTAGATTTCGAATACCCATTTGAAAAGGCGTCTCCTTTACGTCGGGGTTTGTGATATTTTTTTTGCGCTTTTATCTTCACTGATTCTGTATGAGAATAAGTTTTTAAGTATAGATTCGAAAAGACCCATCTTTGTGATCGATTCAACAAGTTTTATTAGTTCCACTTCACTGTTTGATTAGTCTCGTTCTAAACTCGATTTTGCCCTTCTCCGGTTAAATTGCTCTTGTGTTGACTTCATCAACTTATTGTAGACCTGCTTATATTTGTTTGTAGAAGGTGTTGATAAGGTGAGATTGAGCATGTCTCTCAAGGCATTAGACTACGAGTCACTGAATGAAAACGTGAAGAATTGTCAGTATGCAGTCAGAGGTGAACTCTATCTCCGTGCTTCTGAGCTTCAGAAAGAAGGCAAAAAGGTACTATAACTTTTGTAATTTTTTGGGCATTCTTGATGATCCAGATGATGATTGTTGTTTAGGTGTTGGAGTAGATTAGACATGAGATTCTTTGTTGGTTTTTGATATGCATCTTGTTATGTTGCAGTGTCTTTTGGTTTCCTAACTCGTCTGAAATGTCGCATAACAGATTATTTTCACAAATGTTGGAAACCCTCATGCTTTAGGACAAAAGCCGCTGACATTTCCTCGACAGGTAAGT